CCGGGATGCTGTAGAGTGCCATCCCGGAAAAACTGCTAAAATTAGTTACATGCATAATTATAAATATATATAAGGTTCATAGAATGGACTGGAGTATTTCTATAAACTCCAATAGTATCGATGACAAAAGTTCAATAAAGCGTCAAATGACAAGATACAAAATCGAATGATCAGAAAGAAAAAACGTAAACGATCAACGATTCGTACTCACAAACGCTCGACGGAATCGGACGCAATAGGAATAAGGGTAGCAGGTGCGTCAGAGCATATTCACGGAGCAATAGAAAGCGTGTAGTTAGGACGGGAAGGAAGGCAAGGACTTGAAAAAGGATACGCGTGCAGGGCGTAATATTTCGCGCTGAAAAGGTGCAAATGCAGCAGAGCGTTGGCGGCAAATGGTTCGCTATCGCCGCCGCGTACAGAGCCAGCCGTCGGCCGTACGTCGCCCGGCTAATGCGACGTATTGCGCGAGCGCGCCTCCGCGCGTCCGACCGACCGGTGCACACGCGTCAGTCGCATTGTCGCGAAATGATACGTCGACCGCGAAACGAGAGCGGTCGAGAGACAGGGGGACGACGACGCTGCCGCTGCGCTGCTACTTCTGCCTCGGGCCTCCGACCGTAATGCAAGCACGGCTTACTTAAGGAAATTAACTGCGTGCCTTCCAGCGCGGACGCACGCCGCGCTACGTTGACAGCAGACCGCTGGTGCCTGATCACTCGCTTTGCTTCGTTTGGTCTTTCGAAATGCCGGTGAACGGCTCGGCAGCTGCTCGGGAACGGCTGTAACAAGTGCGCGCATCTCCGATATTACATTTATACGTGATTTGCCAACGCAAGTCGTTTACAATGCGATAAAGCTTCCGCCGAGTAGTGTGATGTGTACGGGGCCTATCCGAAGCTTTGCAAATCCGATGCGCGCACGCCAAAGCACTACCGAATGGCGTTCAAAAGGTTATACAGACCATTTTCTCTGCAGCCGACAAAAGCCCATTTAGCTGATTCCTCGTTATACGGTTGTGCGCCTGTACCGGGGTGTGTACGCGTACGTGTGCTTGTGTACGATCGATTCGACGCTATACACGGCAACGGGAGAATTATCACCGCTAATACTCTTATTTTCGATGGACGGCGTGGATACAGTTCACGACACTGAAAGATCCGGAACTAAAATCTGATTTCCGCAATTTGTAGCTTTTCCGGCCAAAAGTAATACGACAATGTATTATAATTTGCTTCGATGAACATCCGATCGAGTGTTTATTTTATGCTCGTGGGATTACTGTATGCTGTACTTTGCTCCGCGTGCTCATTAACATTTTGACTGTTTACTAATGGAGATCTATTGAATAAACTAAATTCATTTAGTCCGTTGACGAATACACAATGCTTCGATTTGTGGCTCTTTCCACCTACGCATACATTGCTCAGTAGATTTGAGTTGACGGCAATGTTGTCGTTTCTATGAAACATACTTTATAGGTAAAAAATGGGCTTTCATTGTGAAAAATCTACCGATTGCATTGTCCATTTCCTACAATCTATTTTCATTCAAAATGTTCTGAATGTCTTCAAAGCAACGCAACCAAAAATTATTACGTAGTAAAAGCTTTGAGATACACAATTAATTTGAAATATTATTTACTATAAATAATCTGATACATAAATTATAAGATTTATATTAATATATAGAAATACTTATAAATATCACAATATTTATTGTACCTACACTGTATAGAAACACGAACAGCAGTTAGACTTTACAAAAAAATATTCGACCATAACCATTTCAACAAATCGTTGTAAACAAATACTGTAAAAATCTCACCTTTCACAATAGGTGCGATGATACATAAGACGACGGCAAGTTCCACGATGAGGCTCATCTTGAAGGAGTTTAGCATCATTTTCAGACTCCTTGTCTGCTTTATCATGTTCGCACTCGAGTTTATCAACTCTTAAAACACACAACGTAGCACATCTAACGATCTCTTGAATTACTTTTTGACCTTTCTACGACTTTCAAATCACTTGAGAATTTTAAAGTCCGGGCAAATAAACTCAATAAGTATCTCAGAGGCTAAACAAAAACATAAAATATTAATTGGTTAACTTTTTTATACGCACAAATCTTCGGTAAGTTTGAAATGACGCTCTTACGAACAATATAAAAACGACAGACTCGCAGTTCAAAAAATATATGCTAACAACAAAAATATATGTTATAAGTTCATGGATCAGATAAAAAAACAGCTCACTAGGTCATGAACAGAAAAAAAAAACAACTCAGCAATCGTCGTGCACTATATACGTCAAAAAAAATCACGAGTGGAATTTACGCTTCGAGGTTAGGTGCGTTAGCAGCAGCCTCTCGGCCAGTTTGTTTTGCTCGTGAACTTCGCGCGAGGAAGAAAAGTCCGCGCTATATAAGAATAATACGAGAGCTTGAAGGGAAGGAACAGGAGAATTTTGTCGCACTAGCCGCGATTTGCGGACCGACGACTCCGATACGTTTTTTGGGGGTAAAAATACGGCCTAGCGCGTATCAGCAGCAGCAGCAGCAGCAGCAGCAGCAGCAACACACACGTTACGCAGGACCACAAGTAGCAGCAACAGCAGCAGCAGCAGCAGCAGCAGTAGCAGTAGCAGTAGCAGTAGACGGCGATCGATCAGCGCGCCGCGCGCCAACAGACAGATGCATTTCACGTGTTGACAACACCTATATAGCCAGCTGCTAGTCTCTGCACACGCCAAGGGCCCTCTGGCACACTGCGAAATGATCTTCCGTACAATCCCGCGAGCGAATCGATTCGTTGTCGGGCCGAGCACTGCCTGCGGATAATAAAGACGTCGCGCATCTACAGATTCAACGACGACGGCGGCGGCTATCTGCATTCATCACTGCTGCTCCCATGAATGGCATATTAGACGTCGGAGGGAGGCATGCCTCAGTCGCGACTGCTCGTGACAGCGGCTCCGCGCTATACATATGTAACATATACAATTGCCGATAACCCGACGTGATGTCTACGCACTTCATCACCTTGACAGATCCTCGTCGACGATGCACACGCGCGTTCCGAAATACCTCGCGGGCGTGTTTACGCGGTCGCACGACGACGATGGCGAGCGGCTTTCTCACGGCCTCGCGGCGGCTGCTGACTCGTTTGTGTGTGCGTGTGCCGCTGACGCACGGGGTCGGCGGCAGCAGCAGTAGCGGCGGCGGCACCGGCGGCGGCGGCGACGGCGGCAGCAGCGGAGGGGTCACCGGCACCCGCGAGCGCGAGTGCGCACCACCGACGCGAGCAAAAAACACCCAGCGCACGGAGGAGAGGCAGTCGCATCGAGAGGAGGGCGCGCTTGGACCATACTAGGTCATGGCTTTGCGTTTGGAATTTGCTATAGGGATTCGAGGGCAATTGAACGTAGCTAAGTTTATGCGGCGTGCTGGTTAGAGGGTGCCTGCGAAAATGGACAGCTGCGAGTCGTCGAATATCGATGACTTTTAGACAAACGTTCCAGCAGTCGTCTTCGGTTTAAACAATCGCGTGAAAAAGACGAAAAGAATACTACAGCCCCCCCTCCCCCAACCACCACACACACATATAAAAATACCATTTCGCTTTGCAAGTGCAGCTAGCATCCACCCCTTTCGCGGCGTGCCGAGCTTGAAGATCCTTCACCCCGCAAAGTTCGGCGGAGAGGCACGAGCTGGGCCGAAGAGCGACGAGCATAGGGGAACGGCCGGGTACGCCAGCAGGGGCAACATCCCGTGGACCACGCGCGCGCCAACCTCTCCCGGCGTGGATATCTCCCACCCTCGCGCAATTTCCGAGATCCGGGCTTTAATTTTAAAGATGTGGGATGCAGATAGGAGCTCTCATTTTTTCTTTCACTTGGTACATGATTTTCTCCGTTTCGGAAATAAATTTTATCGGTCTGTATTCTGTCTCATCACGTATTCATACGAGATATGCCATTCTTGAACCTCCTATTAATTTCAATTAAATTAGACAATAGTGAATGTACCCAAAAGAAAAAACGCTCCCGATTCGATCATTCAGGGTTGCGGTGGTAAACCAAGACAAATATGACGAGGGTCTATTCTAGTTCACCCCTACATTGCTAGGTTCAGGTGACCTACAAATGCAGGACTAAAGTGACCGCTTTTATAAGATGACCACCTATCTATATTAACCGTGCTTACACACGCTATTTGATAGTGGAATGTCTCGTACTGTTCTGTTTCAAGGTGGTTTTAACTTATACACATTAATTTCTATTTAAGATAATTGAATTTTGTTAAAAAGGATCTGTAAGAATGCTGTAAATATTGATAATCTATTATGTTATAGAAGTATTTGATTTTACATTTGATTTTCCAAAATTATGCAAAAGATTGGGTAACTACTGTCATTATATATATATATATATATATATATATATATATATATATATATATAATATAGACACAACGTGAATAAAGTAGATGATAAAAGATGAGAAAGATGACAATCACGATCAGGCTCAAGGAGAGGACAATTATTTTTAGTAAACTGAATGATGAATCTAATTCAAAAGTAAAAAATTAAATCAAATATTATTTTATCAAATGTTTTTCATCCCATTATGCTCTTAAGCAATCCAAATGTACTAAGAAGTAATAATAAAAAATAAGTTTACGTAACCGATAGAATATATAAAATGGAAAATGTCTCACAATCAGATGAGCCTACTAATATTAGGATAAGATCGTTGGATTCGATATAAAAGTCTTGATCTATTACTCCTATAATTGCAAATGAAATTTTGCTTTCTTTTAAATACAATCATATTTTTCAAATTCTTAAATAATATAGAAGTACATTTTTATAATTTAGCATTATGCTTTTGATTGCTCTCGTATAAATACTGAGCATGATGAACAAGTAATGAAAAATAAGTAATCTCTTTTTGTTCTGTTCTACAACGTGTAAGTTATGATCAATAGAACGATCCATCATTGTTATCAATGGAAATTTTATTCATTGTATAGCTAGAATATTCTCATTTAATTATATGATTATTAAACACAAAATTTTAATCAAATAAGGAATTATATTTTGTAGCTATGAAATATATAACAGAATTATTCACATTTTTACTAAATTGTATTATAATTAGAATAATACTATTTTTCCATTGAAGATGCGAAATTACACACACACACACACACAATATAGGGATTATGTAGTAGTATTTTATTACACTTTAAACTTTCACCCACTCAAAACTAAATAACGTACTGAGTGCTCTCATATCGAAATACCAATTGATTTGTTTGCATAATATTATAATATATTATACTAAATTTGTTAGTGAATGAAACGTTACAACTGTAACGAAGAGAGTCAATAATTACTAGCAGATGCATTTACGAGATACATCATTCTACAATCCGTCTGTTGTATTTGCATCAACTGGTTCTAGTTAAACTGATTTTTCTGTGACCTCTGATGAAGATTCTGTTTGTTCTTCTGCAGTTTCAGTACATTCAGTACTATCCTCGGTCGTTGATTCTCCACTTACATCTTCGGTTGGCTGTTCATTACTTCCGCTTAGGGTAGTGTGTTCTCCGCTTGAGCCCTGAGTTGTCTGTTCGCCACTTCCACCTTGGGTAGTTTGTTCTCCGCTTGAGTCCTCAGTAGTCAGTTCGCCACTTCCTCCTTGAGTAGTTTGTTCTTCACTTCCGCCTTGGGTAGTTTGTTCTCCGCTTGAGTCCTCAGTAGTCAGTTCGCCACTTCCTCCTTGAGTAGTTTGTTCTTCACTTCCGCCTTGGGTAGTTTGTTCGCCGCTTGAGCTTTCAGTAGTCTGTTCGCCACTTCCGCCTTGGGTAGTTTGTTCACCACTTCCACCTTGGGTAGTTTGTTCGCCGCTTGAGCTTTCAGTAGTCTGTTCGCCACTTCCGCCTTGGGTAGATTGTTCTCCACTTCCGCCTTGGGTAGTTTGTTCACCACTTCCGCCTTGGGTAGTTTGTTCTCCACTTGAAGCCTCAGTAGTCTGTTCTCCACTTCCGCCTTGAGTAGTTTGTTCACCACTACCGCCTTGCGTAGAATGTTCTCCGCTTGAGTCCTCAGTAGTCAGTTCGCCACTTCCTCCTTGAGTAGTTTCTTCGCCACTACCGCCTTGGGTAGTTTGTTCTCCACTTCCACCTTGGGTAGTATGTTCTCCACTTCCACCTTGGGTAGTTTGTTCGCCGCTTGAGCTTTCAGTAGTCTGTTCGCCACTTCCGCCTTGGGTAGTTTGTTCACCACTTCCGCCTTGGGTAGTTTGTTCACCACTTCCGCCTTGGGTAGTTTGTTCACCACTTCCGCCTTGGGTAGTTTGTTCACCACTTCCTCCTTGAGTAGTTTGTTCTCCACTTCCACCTTGGGTAGTTTGTTCGCCGCTTGAGCTTTCAGTAGTCTGTTCGCCACTTCCGCCTTGGGTAGTTTGTTCTCCACTTGAAGCCTCAGTAGTCTGTTCTCCACTTCCGCCTTGAGTAGTTTGTTCGCCACTACCGCCTTGCGTAGTATGTTCTCCGCTTGAGTCCTCAGTAGTCAATTCGCCACTTCCTCCTTGAGTAGTTTGTTCACCACTTCCGCCTTGGGTAGTTTGTTCACCACTTCCGCCTTGGGTAGTTTGTTCACCACTTCCGCCTTGGGTAGTTTGTTCACCACTTCCTCCTTGAGTAGTTTGTTCTCCACTTCCACCTTGGGTCGTTTGTTCGCCGCTTGAGCTTTCAGTAGTCTGTTCTCCACTTCCGCCTTGGGTAGTTTGTTCACCACTTCCGCCTGGAGTAGTTACTTTTGTAGTGGTGGTAGTAGGTGGCTCCACTGTAGTAGTGCTAGTAGGAGGCGCCACTGTAGTGGTGCTAGTAGTAGGCGCCACTGTAGTGGTGCTAGTAGGAGGCGCCACTGTGGTTTTTGGTCTGGTGCATCTTTGTGCCCACGGATTACAAATATATCCGTCACAACAATCTTCCGTTTTTGTACACTATTAATTATAGAAAAGTATATTATAAGTCAGATTATAATGAATTTAGATTCATTTATCATAAATGTTAAAGCTTACAAGTGCACCAGGCGGTATACAATTTGGTCCAGGTGGGAATTTTCTTTTAGTGCAACGCTTTGCCCATTTGTTACAGATGAAAGGCTTACAACACTGGTTGTCATCTGAACACTACAAAATTAATAATATTACTTTTATAGCTACAATAAATTTTGTATTTTATGTCATAGATTATTTATTCTTACTCTCATTCCAGGCCAACGACATTCCTCATGTGATGGTACTGTTGAAGTTCCCGAAGTAGAACCTGAACTTTCAGAAGATTCTTCGCTACTTTTACTTCCTTCGGTTGTTGGTACAGTTTCTGTGGTGGTGGTGGTTCGTGGTTTCGTACAACGTCTAGCCCACTTGTTACAAATGAGCGACTCGCAACAATCGCTATCTTTGCTGCACTGTATTGTAAAAATTAAATTCAAAATAGAAATCATTTGAATTTTATCGAATACTATAAGTTCAACTTCAATATTATTACTTACGAGAGCACCTGCAGGGATGCAAGTTTGTCCAGGTGGTAAATTATTTGGTCGTTTAGTACAACGAAGTGCCCATGGATTACAGATAAATGGATCACAGCAATCATTGTCATTTGAACACTATAACAATCAAGTTCATATTTTCTCGTAGGATATGTTAATTTTTTTACATTTACCATTCACATAGATTATTAAGTAAGAAAGTAAAATTCATCGATAAGTAAAGATTCTTTTTCTATTACTTACAATGAAACCAGGTGGGCGACATGATTTTTCTACTGAGTACCACCAATGTGCTGAAGAGAATGTTGCTCCAAAAGTTACGAGGCAAAACAATATCAATACCTTCGACATTGCTATGTCTAGGTTGAAGTTTCTAAAAAGAAATCACAAAAATTTTAATATGTCACCAGTCGATTAATTTTAGCACATCCTATTTTTCTATCTTCTATTATTGTAAAGACACACTTTAAATAAACGAATTTACTATTAAAGACGACCACACGCGAAGATACTTAAAGATAAAATAAACGATATTAATCTTCCAACAACACAACGAAATCGATCACTACAAACCTCTCAACAAATACGTACTTATAAAAAAAAATTTTTAATCCTCTCTTCGCTTGATTAGTATTGATTACTTCCCGTTCGTACTACGTCTGGTGCGATTGGACTCGGTTTCAGCTTTATATGCCAAGAAAGCCTGGCCGTATTATCGATAATCGTCATGATCTAATACGTAACAAGAATTGATAAGAGATGTGACAGATAGAAAGAAAAATATATAGAAAACTAGATGAGCAAAGATCTAGTTACGCCGTGTAGAAATAATTTATTTGAAGATCGATAATTTATTGCATTAAATTCAACAATTTTTAGTGTCATGCTAGTTGACATTGGTTCAAAAAATTGTTATAATAGATATAAAGATATTTAAGACTCTTTTTTATTTTTCACTGATAGCATTGAGGTAAATAATCATCAACTAAGTCGCAGGGGATCAAACGGAATCAGATGATTGCATTTCGAGTTAATCGATAACGCCGTAATGAACACTCATTAACAAAGATAATAATTCATGCGCTTCATAGATTAGATGTATTTATTACATAATTTATAATTTAATATTGAAATGAACTAATTTTTTTCCTAAAACTTTTTTTTTAAATGTTATATGATGAATTTCTCAACTGTTCACAACTGATGTTCTCAACTGTTACGAAATCGTTGAGAAAAAAATTATGAATATTGAAACATTCAAATTCAAGATTATTTCAAAACATTATAACACTTCTATCACGTATGAACTTATATATATAAGAACGCAGCAACAGAGAAATTTTGAGTCGAAAAACCTTCTACGTACTTTATTTATTGAGATAAAATCATGTATCTTAATATTATCAATTTCCATCAATAATAACTTTTCTAAAACATGTTTAGTAGCACACATACATCAATGTAGATACGTGATATTAAATATCATACTTGATTAAGATCTATTGAAAATTATGTGATGTAAATTTATCTATAAATATATTTAAAAATCTTGATAAAAACTTATTCCGTGCATTTATTTTAATGCCAAGAGGTAAATAATTTGTAGCTCGAGATGACCGTTATACTTGTTTACTTGGAAAATTCTAATTGTATCTCTGACTCATACTTTCATGAAGTTTCCGAGAGTACGTAATATTTTTATCAGCAAAAATGTAGATGACAATACATTAATTCAGAAAATACTTGTGCTGAATGTTTTTACATCATTTACATTGTTTTTCAAATTTTATTGTTACCGTTGAATAAATCTCATTTTTTAATAAAAATTTTTCCATTATTTTCGTTTTTTATTTATTGTGTAGTGTAGTTTACATATTGCGAACTGACGTCATGTCAATTAAACTATTAATATGTAAAAATATCAAATATTAAATAAGAAAAGTAAGATATATATTTTTCATTCTAAATCCTTCTAAATACTTAAGAATGCTAAATATTTTAACACTTTATTTAGCGTTAAAATATCTTCATCTCTTGGAAGCATTTCTAGTTAAATATATATAATAATAGATGATGGAGAAATCATTTTTTAGATATAGTAAAAATCATCATCAAGGTCACCATCGTCATTTAACATCAGTCATAAAGTATTAATCAGTATTTATATTCATATATTTAACAATCATCATATTAAATGTTAATCTTTGACACAAGCAATAAAGATATTGTAACAAAATATAATATATATTAAAGACCTCACGTCACGGAAATTTTGAATGAAACAAGATATATAATTTCTCTTTTACAGCTTTCATGTAACGATTGCTTATAATAATGGTAGCTGCAGATAACTGCATATTGATTGAAATATAATCATTTTTCATCACAAATTAATTTAATTATAATTAGGTTTTGAACGTAATAAAAAGTGATAGGTATAGCTCATCAAAATTTACATAGAGAGGAAGAAATTAAAAAATAGTAATTATCTCATTAGAAAAAATTTAAATATCTATACTAAATCTCGAAAATAATTGAATAATACTGTCAACATGTTTTTGATCATTTAGTTAGGTAGCTTATCAGCCGAGATCATAATAGATAAATAAGTGCATGAATAATATGACATTTTCCATGCTTCCTTATCTAAATAAAAGCTATTGCCCCTCGTTATTCAGCGAAGCCTGATAAGTAATTTGTTCCAATGAACGGAACACTCTATAATCCATGACGAAATTATTACAAACGTTTCAAATACGTTGTTCATTTCAATTGAACACAAATGGAAGATCATTTGTGTTTGATGGAAATGAATTGTAAAATAAAATTGAAATAAGAATTTTATTTTCCAATCAAGTATTTCATTGCAATCTCTTATTTTTCCAGACTTTACATGATCAATCGCTAAAGAATGTTCCGTGATTTAATCGACGTTACAATTTTGATACGTATAATCAATAACCTTCAAAAACCAATAATCAATTCAACAAAATTAGAACGACGTGAAACATATCAAAATATTAAATCCATGGACACGCAAATCTAGTAATCCAGAAATACATATTAATTTTCTTTTTCCTATAAAATGGCACTTTCAATTTTTTATGATATTTGAAATTGTTATGAATTCTTATTTTAATAATTATAATACGATGGTTATAATATTACTATGGTGATACTAATAAAGGACAACTATGGTTTTTTATAGACATGTTTATTTATGCTTTAAGAATTAATTTTTAATAAACTAAATTTTAATTGTTTTTATTGTTACGTATCTCTCCCAAGTATTATAAATTGTTAAAGATTTCCAAAAACTTTTCTATTGTATGCCTTGGTGTGACTATATGATGTAATCTAAATAGTAATAATCTTGACCCTTGTATGCAATAAATAGTATAGTAATTATTTCTTTAATACAAGTGTCAGTATCTAATGTTATCTGTTAATTTTTTTATATAATAATAATGTGTTGCAACGTAAGATACATGTGACAATACTGAAAATTAATTACCATGGAGTAGTCACTTATATTTTTCATATTAACAATCATGTTTTAAATTAGAGGGCTAATAAATATATATGTATAATTCTCACTTTGAAATAGTGTTTGCAATTTAAATATTAAAATGAATGTAAGTACGCAGACGATATTGGGTCACTGCGTGCTTTATGCAAAGAATTAAATAGAATTTAATGAAAGCTTATTGAGAATTTTAAACTAAAAAAGTGAATGAAAAGTTGCAATTTGCCATCATTATAAGCTTCAATAACAAGTGGAGGGATGCAGTACATAACAATATGCTTAGAATGAAAAATAAGTAATTTAAATAACAGAAAATCAAATGACAATGTTCGTTCGTAGAAAATTAATAAAAGAATGCTAGGTAATGAATTGAACTGTACAATGTAACATTTACAAGTATAAAATCGCAAACAACGAATGGCCATTCAATGAAAGATTTGCTCGCTTACCAGGTCAACGGTCACACTTCAAGTTAGAAAGAGAGAGGGGATTGTCTCTGAGAATAACGCGAACGTAGCTTCAACGGGTACAGCCCTCGCTATCGTTCGCACCGATGTCGATTCGCACGTTATATACTCAATCCAGAGGAAGTAGAGTCTCCTCTGCTAAGGTAGCAGGTGATCCTGTCCTTAGCCCTTTGAATGCAAGGAAACACAAGTTACGTTTCACAGCAAGTCCCAATGCAAAGTTCTAACCGCGAGAACTATTGAAAGTTCTTTCGCTCGAATGCAAACAACTGGGAAGGTGTGAGAGCGACACAACTAACAACACCAGAGCCTAGTCAAAAGAACGCACAGTACTTCAGGATTTTCCGAAAGGAAAATATTGGTCTCTCGACTTTCCACGAATAGAGCGCACGCGAAAACTCAGCCTACACCTAAGACCCACGGTAAAGGCCCGATCGACCATTCGAGAAAGCGGCGCATTGTAGCATCTGTGCAGATCCCTCGGCTACCTACCACAGGATGGTCACCGTTCTTATTTATGACTATTGCGAATTCCCCAGACGTACCCAAACGCGAAAATAAAGAGATTAATGAACGCATTTTTACATGATCGTTTGAGCATTAACAAATTTCGGTAAACGACACTTTCTCTTTTTTTATTTTTTTTAAGAAACAAAGGGCAATAATTTATTTACAAATTTATGCGCTGTGCTGCTTAGAGGGTGCCTGCGAAAATGGGATGCTGCGAGTCGTCGAATATCGATTACTTTTACACAAACGTTCCAGCAATCGTCTTTGGTTTAAACAATCGCGTGAAAAAGATGAAAAGAAAACTACAGACCCCCCACCCCCTCCTCCCAACCACCACACACACATATAAAAATACCATTTCGCTTTGCAAGTGCAGCTAGCATCCACTCCTTTCGTGGCGTGCCGAGCTTGAAGATCCTTCACCCCGCAAAGTTCGGCGGAGAGGCACGAGCTGGGCCAAAGAGCGACGAGCATAGGGGAACGGCCGGGTACGCTAGCAGGGGCAACATCCCGTGGACCACGCGCGCGCCAACCTCTCCCGGCGTGGATATCTCCCACCCTCGCGCAATTTCCGAGATCCGGGCATTAATTTTAAAGATGTGGGATGCAGATAGGAGCTCTCATTTTTTCTTTTACTTGGTACATGATTTTCTCCGTTTCGGAAATAAATTTTATCGATCTGTATTCTGTCTCATCACGTATTCATACGAGATATGCCACTCTTGAACCTCCTATTAACTTCAATTAAATTAGACAATAGTGAATGTACCCAAAAGAAAAAACGCTCCCGATTCAATTATTCAGGGTTGCGGTGGTAAACCAAGACAAATATGACGAGGGTCTATTCTAGTTCACCCCTACATTGCTAGGTTCAGGTGACCTACAAATGCAGGACTAAAGTGACCGCTTTTATAAGATGACCACCTATCTATATTAACCGTGCTTACACACGCTATTTGATAGTGGAATGTCTCGTACTGTTCTGTTTCAAGGTGGTTTTAACTTATACATATTAATTTCTATTTAAGATAATTGAATTTTGTTAAAAAGGATCTGTAAGAATGCTGTAAATATTGATAATCTATTATGTTATAGAAGTATTTTATTTTACATTTGATTTTACAAAATTATGCAAAAGATTGGGTAACTACTGTCATTTGATATATATATATATATATATATATAGACACAACGTGGATAAAGTATATGATGAAAGATGAGAAAGATGACAATCACGATCAGGCTCAAGGAGAGGACAATTATTTTTAGTAAACTGAATGATGAATCTAATTCAAAAGTAAAAAATTAAATCAAATATTATTTTATCAAATGTTTTTCATCCCATTATTCTCTTAAGCAATCCAAATATACTAAGAAGTAATAATAAAAAATAAGTTTACGTAACCGATAGAATATATAAAATGGAAAATGTCTCACAATCAGACGAGCCTACTAATATTAGGATAAGATCGTTGGATTCGACATAAAAGTCTTGATCTATTACTCCAATAATTGCAAATGAAATTTTGCTTTCTTTTAAATACAATCATATTTTTCAAATTCTTAAATAATATAGAAGTACATTTTTATAATTCAGCATTATGCTTTTGATTGCTCTCGTATAAATACTGAGCATGAAGAACAAGTAATGAAGAATAAGTAATCTCTTTTTGTTATGTTCTACAACGTGTAAGTTATGATCAATAGAACGATCCATCATTGTTATCAATGGAAATTTTATTCATTGTATAGCTAGAATATTGTCATTTAATTATATGATTATTAAACACAAAATTTTAATCAAATAAGGAATTATATTTTGTAGCTATGAAATATATAACAGAATTATTCACATTTTTACTAAATTGTATTATAATTAGAATAATACTATTTTTCTATTGAAGATGCGAAACTACACACACACACACACACACACGCGCGCACGCACACACGCACATATATATACACATATAAATAAAACAAATTACATCTATTTATGTACAAAATACTCCTAAATAAATATCGTCCACTATAAAGTTTATTTCTAAATATAGGGATCATATAGTAGTATTTTATTACCCTTTAAACTATCAGCCACTTAAAATAAATAATGTAGGGAGTGCTCTCATATCGAAATACCAATTGATTTGTTTGCATAATATTATAATATATTATACTAAATTTGTTAGTGAATGAAGCGTTACAACTGTAACGAAGAAAGTGAATAATTACTAGCAGATGCATTCATGAGATACATTAGTCTACAATCCGTCGGTTGGATTTTCATCAACTGGTTCTAGTTAAACTGGTTTTTCTGTGACCTCTGATGAAGATTCTGATTGCTCTGTAGTTTCATTACATTCTGTACTATCCTCGGTCGTTGACTCTCCACTTACATCTTCGGTTGTCTGTTCATTATTTCCGCTTAGGGTAGTGTGTTCTCCGCTTGAGTCCTCAGTAGTCTGTTCGCCACTTCCACCTTGAGTAGTCTGTTCACCACTACCGCCTTGCGTAGTATGTTCCCCACTTCTGCCTTGGGTGGTAAGTTCTCCGCTTGAGCTTTCAGTGGTCTGTTCACCATTACCGCATTGCTTAGTATTTTCTTCACTTGTGCATTCAGTAGTCTGTTCTCCACTTCTGCTTTGGGTGGTTTGTTCGCCACTACCGCCTTGCGTAGTATGTACGCCACTTCGCCTTAGGTGGTTTGTTCTCCACTTGAGCTTTCAGTAGTCTGTTCACCACTACTGCCTTGCTTAGTATTTTCTTCACTTGAGCCGTCAGTAGTCTGTTCTCCACTTCCGCTTTGGGTGGTTTGTTCGCCACTACCGCCTTGCGTAGTATGATCGCCACTTCGCCTTGGGTGGTTTGTTCTCCGCTTGAGCATTCAGTAGTCTGTTCACCACTACGGCCTTGCTTAGTATTTTCTTCACTTGCGCCTTCAGTAGTCTGATCTCCACTTCCGCCTTGGGTGGTTTATTCGCCACTACCGCCTTGCGTAGTATGTTCTACACTACCACCTTGGGTAGTTTGTTCGCGAATTCCGCCTGGAGTAGTTACTTTTGTAGTGGTGCTAGTAGGAGATTCCACTGTAGTGGTGGTAGTAGGAGATTACACTGTAGTGATGGTAGTAGGTGACTACACTGTGGTGGTGGTAGTAGGAGGATCCACTGTAATGGTGGTTTTAGGAGGCTCCACTGTAGTAGTGGTAGTAATAGGCTCCTCTGAATTGGTGGTTTTAGCAGGCTCCACAGTAGTGGTGTCAGTAGCCGGCTCCACTGTAGTGGTGATAGTAGAAGGTTCCAATGTAGTGGTGATAATAGGTGGCTTCACTGTAGTGGTGGTAGAAGAAGGCTCCACTGTAGTGGTGGTAGAAGAAGGCTCCACTGTAGTGGTGGTAGGAGGCTCCACTGTAGTTGTGGTAGTAGCTAGCTCCGCTGTAGTAGCGGTAGTAGGTGGCTCCACTGTAGTGGTGGTAATAGGAGGCTCCACTGTAGTGGTGGTAGTAGGTGGCTGTACTGTGGTAGTGGTAGTAGGAGGCTCCGCTGTAGTCGTGGTAGTAGGTGGCTCAACTGGAGTAGTGATTTTAGAAGGCTCGACTGTAGTGGAGCCGGTAGCCGGCTCCACTGTAGTCGTGGTAGTAGGAGGCTCCATTGTAGTGGTGCTAGTCGTAGGCTCCACTGTAGTGATAGTAGAAGAAGGCTCCACTGTAGTGATGGTAGTAGGTGGCTCCACTGTAGTGGTGGTAGTAGCTGGCTCCGCTGTATTGGTGGTAGTAGGAGACTCCACTGTAGTGGTGGTTTTAGGAGGCTCCACTGTAGTGGTGCTCGTAGCCGGCTCCACTGTAGTGGTGGTAGTAGGTGGCTCCGCTGTAGTGGTGGTAGTAGGTGGTTCTACTGTAGTGGTGCTCGTAGCCGGCTCCACTGTAGTGGTGATAGTAGTTGGATCCGCTGTATAGGTGGTAGTAGGAGGCTCCACTGTAGTGATGGTAGTAGGTGGCTCCGCTGTAGTGGTGGTAGTAGGTGGCTCTACTGTAGTGGTGCTCGTAGCCGGCTCCACTGTAGTGGTGATAGTAGCTGGATCCGCTGTATAGGTGGTAGTAGGAGGCTCCACTGTAGTGATGGTAGTAGGTGGCTCCACTGTAGTGGTGGTAGTAGGTGGCTCCGCTGTAGTGGTGGTAGTAGGTGGCTCTACTGTAGTGGTGCTCGTAGCCGGCTCAACTGTAGTGGTGATAGTAGCTGGCTCCGCTGTATTGGTGGTAGTAGGAGGCTCCACTGTAGTCGTGGTAGTAGGAGGCTCCATTGTAGTGGTGCTAGTCGTAGGCTCCACTGTAGTGATAGTAGAAGAAGGCTCCACTGTAGTGATGGTAGTAGGTGGCTCCACTGTAGTGGTGGTAGTAGCTGGCTCCGCTGTATTGGTGGTAGTAGGAGACTCCACTGTAGTGGTGGTTTTAGGAGGCTCCACTGTAGTGGTGCTCGTAGCCGGCTCCACTGTAGTGGTGGTAGTAGGTGGCTCCGCTGTAGTGGTGGTAGTAGCTGGTTCTACTGTAGTGGTGCTCGTAGCCGGCTCCACTGTAGTGGTGATAGTAGCTGGATCCGCTGTATAGGTGGTAGTAGGAGGCTCCACTGTAGTGATGGTAGTAGGTGGCTCCGCTGTAGTGGTGGTAGTAGGTGGCTCTACTGTAGTGGTGCTCGTAGCCGGCTCCACTGTAGTGGTGATAGTAGCTGGCTCCGCTGTATTGGTGGTAGTAGGAGGCTCCACTGTAGTGGTGATAGTAGCTGGATCCGCTGTATAGGTGGTAGTAGGAGGCTCCACTGTAGTGATGGTAGTAGGTGGCTCCACTGTAGTGGTGGTAGTAGGTGGCTCCGCTGTAGTGGTGGTAGTAGGTGGCTCTACTGTAGTGGTGCTCGTAGCCGGCTCCACTGTAGTGGTGATAGTAGCTGTCTCCGCTGTATTGGTGGTAGTAGGAGGCTCCACTGTAGTGGTGATAGTAGCTGGATCCGCTGTATAGGTGGTAGTAGGAGGCTCCACTGTAGTGATGGTAGTAGGTGGCTCCGCTGTAGTGGTGGTAGTAGGTGGCTCTACTGTAGTGGTGCTCGTAGCCGGCTCCACTGTAGTGGTGATAGTAGCTGGCTCCGCTGTATTGGTGGTAGTAGGAGGCTCCACTGTAGTGGTGGTAGTAGGAGGCTCCATTGTAGTGGTGCTAGTCGGAGGCTCCACTGTAGTGATGGTAGAAGAAGGCTCAACTGTAGTGGTAGTAGGTGGTTCTACTGTCGTAGTGGTAGTAGGAGGCTCAAATGTAGTAGTGATTTTAGAAGGCTCCACTGTAGTGGTGATAGTAGCTGGATCCGGTGTATTGGTGGTAGTAGGAAGCTCCACTGTAGTGGTGGTAGTAGGTGGCTCTACTGTCGTAGTGGTAGTAGGAGGCTCCGCTTTAGTCGTGGTAGTAGGTGGCTCCGCTGTATTGGTGGTAGTAGGAGGCTCCACTGTAGTGGTGGTAGTAGGTGGCTCTACTGTCGTAGTGGTAGTAGGAGGCTCCGCTTTAGTCGTGGTAGTAGGTGGCTCAAATGTAGTAGTGATTTTAGAAGGCTCGAATGTAGTGGAGACAGAAGCCGGCTCCACTGTAGTGGTGGTAGTAGGAGGCTCCATTGTAGTGATGGTAGAAGAAGGCTCAACTGTAGTGGCAGTAGGTGGTTCTACTGTCGTAGTGGTAGTAGGAGGCTCCGCTGTAGTGGTGGTAGTAGGTGGCTCTACTGTTGTGGTGGTAGTAGGTGGCTCTACTGTTGTGGTGGGTTTAGGTGGCTCTACTGTAGTGGTGCTCGTAGCCGGCTCCACTGTAGTGGTGATAGTAGCTGGCTCCGCTGTATTGGTGGTAGTAGGAGGCTCCACTGTAGTGGTGGTAGTAGGAGGCTCCGCTGTAGTGGTGGTTTTAGGAGACTCCGCTGTAGTGGTGGTTTTAGGAGGCTCCACTGTAGTGGTGCTCGTAGCCGGCTCCACTGTAGTGGTGGTAGTAGGTGGCTCCGCTGTAGTGGTGGTAGTAGGTGGCTCTACTGTCGTAGTGGTGGTAGGAGGCTCCGCTGTAGTGGTGGTAGTAGGTGGTTCCACTGTAGTGATGGTAGAAGAAGGCTCCACTGTAGTGGTGCTCGTAGCCGGCTCCATTGTAGTGGTGATAGTAGCTGGCTCCGCTGTATTGGTTGTAGTAGGAGACTCCACTGTAGTGGTGGTAGTAGGTGGCTCCGCTGTAGTGGTGGTAGTAGGTGGCTCTACTGTAGTGGTGCTAGTAGGAGGCTCCACTGTAGTGATGGTAGTAGGAGGCTCCACTGTAGTGGTGGTAGTAGGTGGCTCCGCTGTAGTGGTGGAGGTAGGTGGTTCTACTGTAGTGGTGTTAGTAGGAGGCTCCACTGTAGTGATGGTAGAAGAAGGCTCCACTGTAGTGGTAGTAGGAGGCTCCACTGTAGTGGTGGTAGTAGGTGGCTCCGCTGTTGTGATGGTAGTGGGTGGCTCTACAGTTGTGGTGGTAGTAGGTGGCTCTACTGTCGTAGTGGTAGTCGGAGGCTCCGCTGTAATGGTGGTAGTAGGTGGCTCCACTTTAGTGGTGGTAGTAGGTGGCTCTACTGTTGTGGTGGTAGTAAGTGGCTCTTCTGTCGTAGTGGTAGTAGGAGGCTCCGCTGTAGTGGTGGTTGTAGGTGGCTCCGCTGAAGTGGTGGTAGTAGGTGGCTCTACTGTAGTGGTGCTAGTAGGAGGCTCCACTGTAGTGGTGGTAATAGGAGGCTCCACTGTAGTGGTGCTCGTAGCGGGCTCCACTGTAGTGGTGATAGTAGCTGGCTCCGCTGTAGTGGTGGTAGTAGGTGGCTCTACTGTAGTGGTGCTAGTAGGAGGCTCCACTGTAGTGGTGGTAATAGGAGGCTCCACTGTAGTGGTGCTCGTAGCGGGCTCCACTGTAGTGGTGATAGTAGCTGGCTCCGCTGTAGTGGTGGTAGTAGGTGGCTCTACTGTAGTGGTGCTAGTAGGAGGCTCCGCTGTAGTCGTGGTAGTAGGTGGCTCAACTGTAGTAGTGATTTTAGAAGGCTCGACTGTAGTGGAGCCAGTAGCCGGCTCCACTGTAGTCGTGGTAGTAGGAGGTTCCATTGTAGTGGTGGTAGTAGCTGGCTTCGCCGTATTGGTGGTAGTAGGTGGCTGTACTGTAGTGGTGCTGGTAGCCGGTTCCACTGTAGTGGTGATTGTAGCCGGCTCCAATGTAGTCATAGTAGTAGGAGGCTCCATTGTAGTGGTGCTAGTTGGAGGCTCCACTGTAGTGATAGTAGAAGAAGGCTCCACTGTAGTGGTGGTAGTAGGTGGCTCCACTGTAGTGGTGGTAGTAGGTGGCTCTACTGTTGTGGTGGTAGTAGGTAGCTCTACTGTCGTAGTGGTAGTAGGAGGCTCCGCTGTAGTGGTGGTTGTACGTGGCTCCACTGTGGTGGTGTTAGTAGGTGGCTCCACTGTAGTGGTGGTAGTAGCTGGCTCCGCCGTATTGGTGGTAGTAGGTGGCAGTACTGTAGTGGTGCTGGTAGCCGGTTCCACTGTAGTGGTGATTGTAGCCGGCTCCACTGTAGTCATGGTAGTAGGAGGCTCCATTGTAGTGGTGCTAGTCGGAGGCTCCACTGTAGTGATAGTAGAAGAAGGCTCCACTGTAGTGGTGGTAGTAGGTGGCTCTACTGTTGTGGTGGTAGTAGGTGGCTCTACTGTCGTAGTGGTAGTAGGAGGCTCGACTGTAGTGGTGGTTATAGGCGGCTCCATTGTAGTGGTGGTAGTAGGTGGCTCTACTGTTGTGGTGCTAGTAGGAGGTCCCACTGTAGTGGTGGTAGTCGGTGGCTCCGCTGTAGTGGTGGTAGTAGGTGGCTCTACTGTAGTGGTGCTAGTAGGAGGCTCCGCTGTAGTCGTGGTAGTAGGTGGCTCAAATGTAGTAGTGATTTTAGAAGGCTCGACTGTAGTGGAGCCAGTAGCCGGCTCCACTGTAGTCGTGGTAGTAGGAGGCTCCATTGTAGTGGTGGTAGTAGGAGGCCCCACTGTAGTGTAGGTAGTAGTTGGCTCCACTGTAGTGTAGGTAGTAGTTGGCTCCACTGTAGTGGTGGTAGTAGGAGGCTCGGCTGTAGTGGTGGTAGTAGAAGGCTCCACTGTAGTGGTGGTAGTAGGAGGCTCCACTGTAATGGTGGTTTTAGGATGCTCCACTGTAGTGGTGCTAGTAGCCGTTTCCACTGTAGTGGTGATAGTAGGAGGCTCCACTGTAGTGTAGGTAGTAGTTGGCTCCACTGTAGTGGTGGTAGTAGGTGGCTCCGCTGTAGTGGTGGTAGTAGGTGGCTCTACTGTAGTGGTGCTGGTAGGAGGCTCCACTGTAGTGGTGCTCGTAGCGGGCTCCACTGTAGTGGTGCTAGTAGGAGGCTCCGCTGTAGTCGTGGTAATAGGTGGCTCAACTGTAGTAGTAATTTTAGAAGGCTCGACTGTAGTGGAGCCAGTAGCCGGCTCCACTGTAGTCGTGGTAGTAGGAGGCTCCATTGTAGTGGTGCTAGTCTGAGGCTCCACTGTAGTGATAGTAGAAGAAGGCTCCACTGTAGTGGTGGTAGTAGGTGGCTCCACTGTAGTGGTGGTAGTAGCTGGCTCCGCTGTATTGGTGGTAGTAGGTGGCTGTACTGTAGTGGTGCTGGTAGCCGGCTCCACTGTAGTGGTGCTTGTAGCTGGCTCCGCTGTATTGGTGGTAGTAGGCGGCTCCACTGTAGTGGTGGTAGTCGGTGGCTCCACTGTAGTGGTGGTAGTATGTGGCTCTACTGTCGTGGTGCTAGTAGGAGGCTCCGCTGTAGTCGTGGTAGTAGGTGGCACAACTGTAGTAGTGATTTTAGAAGGCTCGACTGTAGTGGAGCCAGTAGCCGGCTCCACTGTAGTCGTGGTAGTAGGAGGCTCCATTGTAGTGGTGGTAGTAGGAGGCTCCACTGTAGTGTAGGTAGTAGTTGGCTCGACTGTAGTGGTGGTAGTACGAGGCTCCGCTGTAGTGGTGGTAGTCGGTGGCTCCACTCCAGTGGTGGTAGTAGGAGGTTCCACTGTAGTGGTGGTAGTAGGTGGCTCCGCTGTAGTGGTGGTTATAGGCGGCTCCATTGTAGTGGTGGTAGTAGGTGGCTCTACTGTTGTGGTGCTAGTAGGAGGTCCCACTGTAGTGGTGGTAGTAGAAGGCTCCACTGTAGTGGTGGTAGTAGGTGGCTCCGCTGTAGTGGTGGTAGTCGGTGGCTCCACTGTAGTTGTGGTAGTAGGAGGTTCCACTGTAGTGGTGGTAGTAGGTGGCTCCGCTGTAGTGGTGGTAGTAGGTGGCTCTACTGTAGTGGTGCTAGTAGGAGGCTCCGCTGTAGTCGTGGTAGTAGGTGGCTCAACTGTAGTAGTGATTTTAGAAGGCTCGACTGTAGTGGAGCCAGTAGCCGGCTCCACTGTAGTCGTGGTAGTAGGAGACTCCATTGTAGTGGTGCTAGTCTGAGGCTCCACTGTAGTGATAGTAGAAGAAGGCTCCACTGTAGTGGTGGTAGTAGGTGGCTCCACTGTAGTGGTGGTAGTAGCTGGCTCCGCTGTATTGGTGGTAGTAGGTGGCTGTACTGTAGTGGTGCTGGTAGCCGGCTCCACTGTAGTGGTGCTTGTAGCTGGCTCCGCTGTATTGGTGGTAGTAGGCGGCTCCACTGTAGTTGTGGTAGTAGGAGGTTCCACTGTAGTGGTGCTGGTAGGAGGCTCCACTGTAGTGGTGCTCGTAGCGGGCTCCACTGTAGTGGTGCTAGTAGGAGGCTCCGCTGTAGTCGTGGTAATAGGTGGCTCAACTGTAGTAGTAATTTTAGAAGGCTCGACTGTAGTGGAGCCAGTAGCCGGCTCCACTGTAGTCGTGGTAGTAGGAGGCTCCATTGTAGTGGTGCTAGTCTGAGGCTCCACTGTAGTGATAGTAGAAGAAGGCTCCACTGTAGTGGTGGTAGTAGGTGGCTCCACTGTAGTGGTGGTAGTAGCTGGCTCCGCTGTATTGGTGGTAGTAGGTGGCTGTACTGTAGTGGTGCTGGTAGCCGGCTCCACTGTAGTGGTGCTTGTAGCTGGCTCCGCTGTATTGGTGGTAGTAGGCGGCTCCACTGTAGTGGTGGTAGTCGGTGGCTCCACTGTAGTGGTGGTAGTATGTGGCTCTACTGTCGTGGTGCTAGTAGGAGGCTCCGCTGTAGTCGTGGTAGTAGGTGGCACAACTGTAGTAGTGATTTTAGAAGGCTCGACTGTAGTGGAGCCAGTAGCCGGCTCCACTGTAGTCGTGGTAGTAGGAGGCTCCATTGTAGTGGTGGTAGTAGGAGGCTCCACTGTAGTGTAGGTAGTAGTTGGCTCGACTGTAGTGGTGGTAGTACGAGGCTCCGCTGTAGTGGTGGTAGTCGGTGGCTCCACTCCAGTGGTGGTAGTAGGAGGTTCCACTGTAGTGGTGGTAGTAGGTGGCTCCGCTGTAGTGGTGGTTATAGGCGGCTCCATTGTAGTGGTGCTAGTCGGAGGCTCCACTGTAGTGATCGTAGAAGAAGGCTCCACTGTAGTGGTGGTAGTAGGTGGCTCCGCTGTAGTGGTGGTAGTCGGTGGCTCCACTGTAGTAGCGGTAGTAGGAGGTTCCACTGTAGTGGTGGTTGTAGGAGGCTCCACTGTAATGGTGGTTATAGGCGTCTCCATTGTAGTGGTGGTAGTAGGTGGCTCTACTGTAGTGTAGGTAGTAGTTGGCTCCACTGTAGTAGTGGTAGTAGGAGGTTCCACTGTAGTGGTGGTTGTAGGAGGCTCCACTGTAGTGGTGGTTATAGGCGGCTCCATTGTAGTGGTGGTAGTAGGTGGCTCTACTGTTGTGGTACTAGTAGGAGGACGCACTGTAGTGGTGGTAGTAGGAGGCTCCGCTGTAGTGTAGGTAGTAGTTGGCTCCACTGTAGTGGTGCTAGTAGGAGGACCCACTGTAGTGGTGGTAGTAGAAGACTCCACTGTAGTGGTGGTTTTAGGCGGCTCCACTGTAGTGGTGCTATTAGCCGGCTCTACTGTAGTGGTGGTAGAAGAAGGCTCCACTATAGGGGTGGTAGTATGTGGCTCCACTGTAGTGGTGCTAGTAGTAGGCTCCTCTGTAGTGGTGATTTTAGGAGGCTCGACTGTAGTGGTGCCAATAGCCGGCTCCACTGTAGTGGTGATAGTACGTGGCTCCGCTGTAGTGGTGGTACTAGAAGGCGCCACTGTAGTGTTGCTAGTAGTAGGCGCCACTGTAGTGGTGGAAGTAGGAGGCTTTACTGTAGTGGTGCTATTAGGTGGCGCCACTGTAGTGGTGGTAGTAAGTGGCGCCACTGTAGTGGTGCTAGTAGTAGGCGCCACTGTAGTGGTGCTAGTCGGAGGCTCCATTGTAGTGTTTGGTTTAGTAGGCTCCACTGGAGTGGTGGTAGTAAGTGGCTTCACTGTAGTGGTGGTTTTAGGAGGCTCCACTGTAGTGGTTCTAGGTGGAGGCTCCACTGTAGTGGTGCTAGTAGGAGTCGCCACTGTAGTGGTGCTAGTAGGAGGCGCCACTGTAGTGGTGCTAGTAGTAGGCGCCAATGTAGTGGTGCTAGTAGTAGGCGCCACTGTAGTGGTGCTAGTAGGAGGCGCCACTGTAGTGGTGCTAGTAGTAGGCGCCACTGTAGTGGTGGTAGTAAGTGGCTCCACTGTAGTGGTGCTAGTAGAAGGCGCCACTGTAGTGTTGCTAGTAGGAGGCGCCACTGTAGTGGTGCTAGTAGTAGGCGCCACTGTAGTGGTGGTAGTAAGTGGCTCCACTGTAGTGGTGCTACTAGAAGGCGCCACTGTAGTGTTGCTAGTAGTAGGCGCCATTGTAGTGGTGGAAGTAGGAGGCTTTACTGTAGTGGTGCTATTAGGTGGCGCCACTGAAGTGGTGGTAGTAAGTGGCGCCACTGTAGTGGTGCTAGTAGTAGGCGCCACTGTAGTGCTAGTCGGAGGCTCCATTGTAGTGTTTGGTTTAGTAGGCTCCACTGGAGTGGTGGTAGTAAGTGGCTTCACTGTAGTGGTGGTTTTAGGAGGCTCCACTGTAGTGGTTCTAGGTGGAGGCTCCACTGTAGTGGTGCTAGTAGAACTCGCCACTGTAGTGGTGCTAGTAGTGGGCGCCAATGTAGTGGTGCTAGTAGTAGGTGCCACTGTAGTTGTGCTAGTAGGAGGCGCCACTGTAGTGGTGCTAGTAGTAGGCGCCACTGTGGTTTTTGGTCTGGTGCATCTTTGTGCCCACGGATTACAAAGATATCCCTCACAACAATCTTCCGTTTTGGTACACTATTAATTATAGAAAAGTATATTATAAGTCAGATTATAATGAATTTTGATTAATTTATCATAAATGTTAAAGCTTACATGAGCACCAGGCGGTATACAATTTGGTACAGGTGGAAATTTCCTTATACTGCAACGCTTTGCCCATTTGTTACAGATGAATGGCTTACAACACTGGCTGTCATCTGAACACTGCAAAATAAATAATATTACTTTAATAGCTACAATAAATTTTGTGTTTTATGTCATGAAGTATTTATTCTTACTCTTTTTCCTGGCCATCGACATTTCTCATGTGATGGTACTGTTGAAGTTGCCGAAGTAGAACTCGAACTTACAGAAGTTTCTTCGCTGCTTCCGCTTTCTGGCGTCATCGGTGCAGTTTCTGTGGTGGTGATTCGTGGTTTCGTACAACGTCTAGCCCATTGATTGCAAATCAATGATTCACAACAATCTTCTTTTTTTTTACACTGAAATATGCATGTATATCCAAAATTTAGTTAAGCTAATAAGATAATACTAAATTCAATCTGACTTTTTTTTATAACAATCAATTTACAATTGCACCAGCAGGTTTACAAGTTTGGCCGGGTGGATAATTTGGTAGTTTTTTGGTACAGCGATTTGCCCCGGGATTACATATGAAAGGCTTACAACACTGGCTGTCATCTGAACACTACAAAATTAATAATATTACTTTTATAGCTACAATAAATTTTTTTGTATTTTATGTCATAGATTATTTATTCTTACTCTCATTCCAGGCCAACGACATATCTTATGTGATGGTACTGTTGAAGTTCCCGAAGTAGAACCTGAACTTTCAGAAGATTCTTCGCTACTTTTACTTCCTTCGGTTGTTGGTACAGTTACTGTGGTGGTGGTGGTTCGTGGTTTCGCACAACGTCTAGCCCACTTGTTACAAATGAGCGACTCGCAACAATCGCTATCTTTGCTGCACTGTATTGTAAAAATTAAATTCGAAATAGAAATCATTTGAATTTTATCGAATACTATAAGTTCAACTTCAATATTATTACTTACGAGAGAACCTGCAGGGATGCAAGTTTGTCCAGGTGGTAAATTATTTGGTCGTTTAGTACAACGATGTGCCCATGGATTACAGATAAATGGATCACAGCAATCATTGTCATTTGAACACTATAACAATCAAGTTCATATTTTCTCGTAGGATATGTTAATTTTTTTACATTTACCATTCACATAGATTACTAAGTAAGAAAGTAAAATTCATCGATTAGTAAAGATTCTTTTTCTATTACTTACAATGAAACCAGGTGGGCGACATGATTTTTTTACTGAATACCACCAATGTGCTGAAGAGAATGTTGCTCCAAAAGTTACGAGGCAAAATAATATCAATACCTTCGACATTGCTATGTCTAGGTTGAAGTTTCTAAAAAGAAATCACAAAAATTTTCATATGTTACCAGTCGATTAATTTTAGCACATCCTATTTTTCTATCTTCTATGATTGTAAAGACATACTTTAAATAAGCGAATTTACTATTAAAAACGACCACACGCGAAGATACTTGAAGATGAAATAAACGACATTATATATTTAAAAATCTTGATAAAAACTTATTCCATTTATTTTATTGCCAGGACATAAATAATTTGTAGCTCCAGATGATCGTTATACCTGTTTACTTGGAAAATTCTAATTGTATTCCTGACTCATACTTTCATGAAGTTTCCGAGAGTACGTAATATTTTTATCAGCAAAAATGTAGATGAAAATACATTTAATTCAGAAAATACTTGTGCTGAATGTTTTTACATCATTTACATTGTTTTTCAAATCTTATTGTTACCGTTGAATAAATCTCATTTTTTAATAAAAATTTTTCAATTTTTTTCGTTTTTTATTTATTGTGTAGTGTAGTATACATATTGCGAACTGACGTCATGTCAATTAAACTATTAATATGTAAAAATATCAAATATTAACTAAGAAAAGTAGATATATATTTTTCATTCTAAATCCTTCTCAATACTTAAGACTGCTAAATATTTTAACACTTTATTTAGTGTCAAAATATCTTCATCTCTTGCAAGCAATTCTAGTTAAATATATATAATAAAAGTTGACGGAGCAATCATTTTTTAGATATAGTAAAAATCATCAGCAAGGTCACCATCGTCATTTAACATCAGTCTCAAAGTATTAATCAGTATTTATTACTTATATTCATATATTTAACAATCATCATATTAAATGTTAATCTTTGACACAAGCAATAAAGATATTGTAACAAAATGTTATATATATTAAAGACCTTACGTCACGGAAATTTTGAATGAAACAAGATATATAATTTCTCTTTTACAGGTTTCATGTAACGATTGCTTCTAAGAATGGTAGCTGCAGAGAACTGCTTATTGATTGAAATATAATCATTTTTCATCACAAATTAATTAAACTATAATTAGGTTTTGAACGTAATAAAAAATGATAGGTATAGCTCATCAAAATTTACATAGAGAGGAAGAAATTAAAAAATAGTAATTATCTTATTAGGAAAAATTTAAATATGTATACTAAATCTCGAAAATAATTGAATAATACTGTCAACATGTTTTTGATCATTTAGTTAGGTAGCTTATCAGCCGAGATCATAATAGATAAATAAGTTCATGAATAACATGACATTTTCCATGCTTCCTTATCTAAATAAAAGCTATTGCCCTTCGTTATTCAGCGAAGCCTGATAAGTAATTTGTTCAAATGAACGGAACACTCTATAATCCATGACGAAATTTTTACAAACGTTTTAAATACGTTGTTCATTTCAATTGACCACAAATGGAAGATCATTTGTGTTTGATGGAAATGAATTGTAAAATAAAATTGAATTAACGAATTTTATTTTCCAATCAAGTATTTCATTGCAATCTCTTATTTTTCCAGATTTTACATGATCAATCGCTAAAGAATATTCCGTGATTTAATCGACGTTACAATTTTGATACGTATAATCAATAACCTTCAAAAATCAATAATCAATTCAACAAAATTAGAACGACGTGAAACATATCAAAATATTAAATCCATGGACACGCAAATCTAGTAATCCAGAAATACATATTAATTTCTTTTTTCTATAAAATGGCACTTTCGATTTTTTATGATATTTGAAATTGTTATGAATTCTTATTTTAATAATTATAATGTGATGGTTATAATATTACTATGGTGATACTAATAAAGGGCAACTATGGTTTTTTCTAGACATGTTTATTTATGCTTTAAGAATTAATTTTTAATAAACTAAATTTTAACTGTTTTTATTGTTACGTATCTCTCCCAAGTATTATAAATTGTTAAAGATTTCCAAAAACTTCTCTATTGTATGCCTTGGTGTGACTATATGATGTAATCTAAATAGTAATAATCTTGACCCTTGTATGCAATAAATAGTATAGTAATTATTCCTTTAATACAAATGTCAGTATCTAATGTTATCTGTTAATTTTTTTATATAATAATAATTTGTTGCAACGTAAAATACATGTGACAATACTGAAAATTAATTACCATTGAGTAACCACTTATAATTTTCATATTAACAATCATGTTTTAAATTAGAGGGCTAATAAATATATATGTATAATTCTCACTTTGAAATAGTGTTTGCAATTTAAATATTAAAATGAATGTAAGTACGCAGACGATATTGGGTCACTGCGTGCTTTATGCAAAGAATTAAATAGAATTTAATGAAAGCTTATTGAGAATTTTAAACTAAAAAAGCGAATGAAAAGTTGCAATTTGCCATCATTAGAATCTTCAATAACAAGTGGAGGGATGCAGTACATAACAATATGCTTAGAATGAAAAATAAGTAATTTAAATAACAGAAAATCAAATGACAATGTTCGTTCGTATAAAATTAATAAAAGAATGCTAGGTAATGAATTGAACTGTACAATGTAACATTTACAAGTATAAAATCGCAAACAACGAATGGCCATTCAATGAAAAGATTTGCTCGCTTACCAGGTCAACGGTCACACTTCAATTTAGAAAGAGAGAGGGGATTGTTCCTGAGAATAACGCGAACGTAGCTTCAACGGGTACAGCCCTCGCCATCGTTCGCGCCGATGTCGATTCGCACGTTATATACTCAATCCAGAGGAAGTAGCGTCTCCTCTGCTAAGGTAGCAGGTAATCCTGTCCTTAGCCCTTTGAATGCAACGAAACACAAGTTACGTTTCACGGCAAGTCCCAATGCAAAGTTCTAACCGCGAGAACTATTGAAAGTTCTTTCGCTCGAATGCAAACAACTAGGAAGGTGTGAGAGCGACACAACTAACAACACCAGAGCCTAGTCAAAAGAACGCACAGTACTTCAGGATTTTCCGAAAGGAAAATATTGGTCTCTCGACTTTCCACGAATAGAGCGCACGCGAAAACTCAGCCTACCCCTAAGACCCACGGTAAAGGCCCGATCGACGATTCGAGAAAGCGGCGCATCGTAGCATCTGCGCAGATCCCTCGACTACCTACCACAGGATAGTCACCGTTCTTATTTATGACTATTGCGATTTCCCCAGACGTATCCAAACGCGAAAATAAAGCGATTAATGGACGCATTTTTACATGATCGTTTGAGCATTAACAAATTTCGGTAAACGACACTTTCTCTTTTTTTTTTTTTTTAAAGAAATAAAGGGCAATAATTTATTTACAAAGGCGAAAAAGATTAAACGTGTTCATTCTCGACACAAGAAGCGCAAACGCAGCGAACAAATTTTGATTTAAACAACACGTTTATCCATTGTACCTTTAAAAATTTTAGCTTTAAATGTAGATAATGCAGAATAAAATTTATAAAAAACCCATCTGTCGGAACGCACTTTTGTGAAATTATTGAAAATTGTAAATCATAATAAAGAAAAAATCGGTTAAAACACGTGCAACTCAAATTTTCCATTTTTTGCAAAAGCATTTCAAAATAAATTTGTATGTAGCTTAGAAAGTTCTGTGGTATGAAATTCTTATAAGCTCTGTAAAGTCATATATATTCACGAATGAGGACTCATCAGCGAATGAGAGAAAAGAAGTATTCTCTCAAACTTGAGATAGACGAAAGATGACTTGAAGCTTACAAAGATAAGGAAAACTAAAACGAAATTCCCCTATATACAGACAAAAAGTCTGCTCTGACGATTGCACGATAGAGAAAAGAACAGGGGGATGAGAGATATATAGCTAAGAAAAAGATCCATTTAAGGCGCTGTTGCAGTCCTGATGTAAAAAGCTAAGATAATCCACTTTTTTCGATCGTAAATTTTCAACGTACGGCCTCCTAAAGAAAAGCCACGGGAGTTGTTGTAATTCAACGAACCCTCAGACGAATGGCTGCTGCTGGCCGAGCACACTGATGAAATCGTTTTAGACTTCACTCTGATAAATTAGCAATAAATTTTGAGGCCACCTGCGAATCATTCGATATTATTCATCAATTTTAATCTCATGCAATACACTTTCTCGAAGAAGTTTAACATATTGACTTTTTCCCTCATTATTCACATAGCCCGATTGTATTACTATTCAAACTATGTATCGTCAATTTTCAAAATTTTTCAATTTATTTTTATTACAGATATAATTCGAAATGAAATTATTTGGGCAAATAATATTGTGTCAAGATCTATCATGATTTATATCAGATCCGAATTGACAGTACGATTAATGCAATTAATTTAAAAATTTGTATCAGTACAGAGATCTAGTAGAAAGATGTATAGGTTTATGTCGATACCTGTCGACTATAGTCTATTTTTCTTATATGATTACAAACAATATTTGTAGACTTTTCTAAAGAAAAAGCGTTCTATGCTTTGTATCATTCAAGCTGCAATGATTTTTCTGTTCTACTCGCGTTGTTCCGAAATCAAAAAGCGTTAATTTTTTCCCCATAATACGTTTTTCAGTTTTTCAATAAAAAACTATGAAAATATCCGTCAAATGAATCACTCGTTTCATATTAGGTTAGCACAAGAAAAATTAACGGTACATTTAAGTCTATGCTTTGATCATTTATTCATTCTCTACAAATTTCTAGCAAGATTGCTTCGTTTCGTTAAAATTTGAACGAGAGCAGCTTTTTAGAGCGATTAAAGAAATACTGTTTTGAAAACTCAAGTCTTCCATATATCAAAGCATCTAGTGGTGCAGTTCTAACAGATAAATTAAATTTCACGCGATCATCCAATATGCAGTAATGATTACGTTGACGACAATTACGTTCGTGTGGTGTCCTAATCAACCTCCGACCTAAATAATAATAGCAATATTCAATTCCATTCGGATGCACGTGTACCGGTGGCAGGAAAGAAAGTGCAGAAACCTATCGTCCAGTGAATCAATTGACGCGCAAATTGCACGTGATTTCGACGATAAATCGCCGCGTTGAGCGTTGATTAATTATATTGCGGGGCGACAGCCGCGGAAATATATTCGATTGTCCACGGTGCTGTCTCTAGCAAACGCAGGGACATTAAGCACGAACGACAAACGTGGCCCATACACGCAACGTCCAAGTTATCGTCGAGTTATTGTACGCGCCTACGTGATCTATTCATGCGCTGCGCACGATGCTTTTGTACTTGTTGCCCATTGCTTAATCTATTGATATAATAAGAAAAAGAATTAATAACGAAGGAATTGAAGAAGAAAATACGTCTCGCTTTGATATTTGAATAAAATGAATATAAGGCGGGCTCGTGATTATACGAATATAAGCGACTCGGAATTAATGTTAACAATTGAGAGTGTAATCGGAACAAAAGGAAATGAAACAGAATTTATTTCATATGAAATACAGACGACAGTATTAAATAAAATACGCGTATTACATTGGAATCGAGACAGCTCGCTTAGCCAGTCCGTGGACGCGATTTT